TTAACCGGAAGTTGACCATAACTTCATTAATATTGAAGATAAATATGTCGTGTTTGTACTCATTTTAAAGGATTTTTAATGAAGATTACAAATATGTGAAAATTGAGGTTGACATTTTAAACCTGAAGTCTGTTATCATATAATAGACATATGGACAACTTCATGGTGTTCTTTCATGATGTATTTTTTATTAAAAAACCTTTAAAATGAGTCCAAACATTATGCATTTATATCAAAAAACATAGATAGAATAAAAAACATTAACCTTGAATGTTTTTAGTTTTAGGTTTAGTGTTAGTTCTAGTTTTGCATTGTCACTAGAACTAACACAAGACCTAAAACTATTCTCATTCGGGTTTATCCTTCTTGAGAGACGTGCTAAATCCGATTATTTCTAGTTTTACGTCTAATATTAGTTCTAGTGATAGTGCTAGGTAGCGCTAGTCAGCATTGCTGTATTGCATAATATTTTTAATGAAATAAAACTAGAACTAACACTAGGCCTAGAATTAGAAAGTTTCTGGTTTAGCCGCACGTCTCTCAAGAGGGCTAAACTCGAATGATTCTAGTTCTAGGTCTTGTGTTAGTGCTAGTGTAAAACTAGAACTAACACTAGACCTAGAACTAGAAAGTTTCAGGTTTAATAATATGGAACACTAATATTTATTTTTATGCTACCTATCACTGTCACTCGAACTAACTTTAGACCTAAAACTAGAAACATTCGGGGTTAGCCACACGTCTCTCAAGATGGCTAAACCCGAATGATTCTAGTTCTAGATCTTGTGTTAGTTCAAATGATAGTGCTAGTGCAATACTAGAACTAACACAAGACCGAGAACTAGAAACATTCGGATTTAGCCGCACGTCTTTCAAGACGGCTAAACCCGAATGATTCTAGTTCTAGATCTTGTGTTAGTTCAAATGATAGTGCTAGTGCAATACTAGAACTAACATTAGATCTACAACTAGAAATATATTTTTGTNATAACTTCATTAATATTGAAGATAAATATGTCGTGTTTGTACTCATTTTAAAGGATTTTTAATGAAGATTACAAATATGTCAAAATTGAGGTTGACATTTTAAACATGAAGTTAATTATCATATAATAGACATATGGACGACTTCATGGTGTTCTTTCATGATGTATTCTTTATTAAAAAACCTTTAAAATGAGTCCAAACATTAACCTTGAATGTTTTTAGTTTTAGGTTTAGTGTTAGTTCTAGTTTTGCATTGTCACTAGAACTAACACAAGACCTAAAATTATTCTCATTCGGGTTTATCCTTCTTGAGAGACGTGCTAAATCCGATTATTTCTAGTTCTACGTCTAATGTTAGTTCTAGTGATAATGTTAGGTAGCGCTAGTTAGCATCACTGTATTGCATATTTTTAATGAAATAAAACTAGAACTAACACTAGGCCTAAAACTAGAAACATTCGGGGTTAGCCACACGTCTCTCAAGACGGCTAAACCCGAATGATTCTAGTTCTAGATCTTGTGTTAGTTCAAATGATAGTGCTAGTGCAATACTAGAACTAACATTAGATCTACAACTAGAAATATATTTTTGTATATTGCATTTGAAGTAAAATTCACTGTTTATGAAAAACGCATTAACATGCAACTATAAACTAAACAAAAATTATTTTCTACATTTTCAGAAACTTGGCTATCGGAATTGGAATTCAAAACTTTCCCGAAGGTTTAGCCGTAAGCCTTCCGCTTCACGCGGCCGGTTTTTCGACCTTGCGAAGCTTTTGGTAAGTAATAAAGAAAGGCGAAATTGTACCTTTCACGCCGCTTTCTTTCATCATCCTTCATCTTTCAAATATGAAATTTACAAGGGGGCCGCGTAATAGATGTGTTGAGACCGATAAGAAGCGATCTGTGAGAAGACGAAGAAATCGTTTTTGGTAGATGTGCAATAGGTACATTTCTGACCGCATTCCAACGACGAACCAAGCCCCCTCCCTTCTTCTCATCCTTTCATTTTATTTTTTTTTTCCTTTTTCTTTTCGTGAACAGTTTCGGCGGCTCTCTTTTGTACCTTGTTGAGACACTTAGCGTTTACGGTAGAGGGCGTATGTGAAACGAACTGAGGCAAACTGAGTTGAGGCAAACTGAGTTGAGGCAAACTGAGTTGAGGCGAACTGAGGAGGAGTGATTAATGAGGCACAAAACTCGACCTTGCAGGGTCATCTTTTAAACAATAATAATTATAATTTAAAGTATTTTTTTTGTATTTCAGGTATGGTCAACTTAGTGGTATGGTTGAACCAATCTTTGGCGTTCTGGGTGCTTTAACGGTGGCCTTAGCTCAACCCGTTTTGCCTTATGCCTTGGCGTTTGCCGCGGGCGCTATGATATATGTTGTAGTCGATGATATAATCCCCGAAGCTAATACTAAGTGAGTATTCTTTACCTCTAATATGAAACAACGAATCTTATCATCCCAAAAACATAATAAAACCGTTTTAATCGGCCATAACACCGATACCTTATCGAGTATTTATTTTCTTCATTTTTAGAACGTCAACAATGCAAACTCGGGCGTTTATTAATCGTAAACGACACTTTTTCACCCTCTCCATCTTTCTCTTTCATTCTCTTTTATTCTCCTCTCTATCGAATCGGAAGATAGACTTAACTCTTTGGCGATTAGGCGGGGTCGACGACACGAACGTCGTCGTCGTCATCGAGGTGCAACACACGGTGGTCTTCGCGAGAGAAACCCTCTTCTTGAATAACAACCGTTATTAAACAAAGAAATTCGAAATAATTAGAAATTTTTTTGATAATAAATCGGGTTTAAAAGAAAGGTGTAGAAGCGCATTCAAGAAGTGCGTGAAGAAACACGACGAAGACGGAGATGGAAAATGAGAAAGATGGAGGGAATCGGTTCATTGATAAGTTTGCCGTGAAAGAAAGATGAATGGAATAAGAAATATTTTGTTTTAATTTAGGTATTTTCATGAAAACAACGAAATAAATGGTTTAAAGTTAATTTTTTATTATTAATCTTTGTGGAAAGAAAAATAAAAAAAGAGAAAGAAAGAGATATTGGTATTTAGGTCGAAGTTATTGAATCCAACCGACCGTTGATTCTTGTAATTCATTACGGGGGCCCCGCTATTTTAATCGTTGGCGGCGGCATCGGTTGGATTGTTTTGGGTGCCGCGGGGCGAAGGCGTCAGGGGGGCGTGTCCTAATCGCGTTTTAGAGATCGACGCTCGCCGTCGTCTGCCGTCGTCGTCGACGACGACGTCCTTCCAACGATCGACAACCCAATAGCCGACGCGCAATAACAAACAATTTGCCAAATATTGACGCCCGATGCCCAACCTCTTCTCATCATTTCAACAAAATTACAATTTCTTCAACAAACATTTTATGATTTTGATATTATTAACAAATTTTTCAACGATTGTTGTCATTACGATGAATACGTTCATTTTCATAGTACTTTCTATACCGGGAATTTCACCGGCGAGACGATAGCAACAAACCGCTCAGCAACAAACTTTTTCCTTTATATTTCCACCTACTTCTAGGGCCCATATCTTTGTTATCTAGAAAGATAGCGAAAAACTAAGCACACGGTTGGAAAGCTTGGTCTTTTCTCTATCATAAACCGAGTTTTCGTCCGCCGATATGTTGATAATAAGAGCAAGAAAAAATAAGAAACGTCGCGCTGCATTCAATTTACCTCAGAATTACCAAACTTCACGGCCTTGTGCAGCCGTTACCAGATGGAAATTCAATAAGTTGTTTACATATTCGGAAAGAGCTGACCTTGGACTATCTTATTCCGAGTTTTCGTCCGTCAATATCTGTCGGCGTCTATAAAAAAAACGCTCCTGAAAAAGAGCCTACAGTTGGCAACAAACTTTACTTGTGTATTTCCATCTTAGTACTTTTCGGATAGATATCTTTGTTATTTATAACGCTAGCGGAAAACTAAGCACACGGTTGGAAAGCTTGGTCGTTTCTCAATGAGACCAAGAAAAAATAAGAAACGTCGCGCTGCCACGAATTTGTGCCGCGGCTAAACCACGCTTGGGTCAATAACTCTCTTATATGACGGGGAGAAAACTCTAGAACTATATTCATCTTATGGGAAATTTTCTGCTCTTTTCATCGCTATATAACACATCTCAATCACACGTTTGCACAATCGTTTATCAGCCCAGCAACAAACTTTTCCCTAGTATTTCCGTCTACTTTTCGGGCCAATATGTTGGTTATCTAGAAAGATAGCGAAAAACTAAGCACACGGTTGGAAAGCTTGGTCATTTCTCTATCCTAAACCGAGTTTTCGTCTGCCGATATGTTGATAATAAGAGCAAGAAAAAATAAGAAACGTCGCGCTGCATTCAATTTACCTCAAAATTACCAAACTTCACGGCCTTGTGCAGCCGTTACCAGATGGAAATTCAATAAATGGCTTACATATTCGGAAAGTGCTGATCTTGGACTATATTATTCCGAGTTTTCGTCCGCCAATATCTATCAGCGTCTGTAAAAGAAACGCACCTGAAAAAGCTCCTACCGATGAAAACACGCAAATATTTCTTGCACTAATAACTTTCCTATTTGACAGGGAGAAAACTCCACAACTATATTCAGCTTATGGGAAATTTCAACGATGTGTGACACACCGTGATCACACGTTTGCACAATCCTTTTTTCTGACTATGAACTACCTAAACCACGAATTTTTGCCGCGGCTAAACCACGCTTGGGTCAATAACTTTCTTATATGAAGGGGAGAAAACTCTAGAACTATATTCATATTATGGGAAATGTTCTGCTCTTTCCAACGGTGTGCGACGCACTTCGCTTACGTATTTGCATACGCGTTTTTTAAATTGATAAACTAAATAACTTAAAATGCAAAGGTTGGTAACGTTACCAGATTCAAAACCATCAAAACACAATTTCAGATTCTGATAAAATAGGTGTAACATGAAATAATCTTTCCGTTTTGAACAGTTTAGCATGTTTCTAAACGTAAAATTAAAGCTAGAATTAACACTAGCACTATCACTAGAACTAACACTAGACTAGAACTAGAAACTTTCGGGTTCGCTTCGAACTTGTTTTCTGAAGAAGGTTGCAACATGACATCCGACACATAAAACATTTTATTAACACCGGCCGTGAAAGCCTTCGTATTTATGTATATGTTTTTAAACGGTTTTAAATAAATTAAGAGTGAATGAAAAATTATCTGTCAACATGAAATGAAGCTAGGATTCTCTCTCGGGTAAAACTTTGTTCCAATTTTTCCTTCATCAAATAAGAAAGTTAGGATAAGAAGTGATTGCGTTCTGCTACCTGTAGGTTATCTTTCAGGTGTATTTCTTTTACAGACGCTGGCAGATATTGCCGGACAAAAACGCGAAATAAGACAGGCCAAGGTTAGCTCTTTTCGAATATGTAATAGTAAACCATTTGTTGAATTTCCTTCTGATAACGGCTGCGCAAAGCCTTAAAATTTTGAGGTGATTTAAATGTAGTGTTCCGTTTCTTATTTTTTTCTGCTCTTATTATTAATATATCGGCGGACGAAAACATGGTTTAAGATATAGAAAAGACCAAGCTTTCCAACCCTGTGCTTAGTTTTTCGCTATCTTTCTAGATAACGAAGATATGAGCCCTAGAAGCAGGTGGAAATATAAAGGAAAAAGTTTGTTGCTGAGCGGTTTGTTGCTATCGTCTCGCCGGTGGGAATTTCATATAACTCGCAATATACAGGGTGTCTCAGCGAGACCGGTCATTAGACGTTTCTGGGGTTCTGGCCAAACAAAAAATTTGAGAATGCAGACTTAAGTATTATCAATTACGTTCTCTTCATCTAAAATATTTTCAGATTTCTAGCACTTCTGGTTATACCGGAAGTCGCTATCTACTTTATTTATTTAAATGGAACACCTGTATAAAGAAGAAAGTTGATAAATACCTTTACTTTTTGTAATTTGATTCGGCCGTTCTCGAGTTATTCGAATTTTTCTAGAAAAATCTGCTCCAGAGGACATTTGGTCAAAAAATCATAGAACACTCGATTTTTGAGATATCAATTTAAGATTCAGAACATGCTTAAACGACATGATGGAGTATGTTTATGTGCCGAGAACGGCTGTCTAGATCGTTTGGTCACTTTACTATGACACGTTAACTTTTCGAAATTTGGAAGCACCATAACTTCCTTTTTTTTAAGTGCACCCCCCCATATTTTATTACTTAGTCATCTTCGGCGTCTCATTTTACATCTTTTATATTCCATATGTCCTATGCCTAACATTAATAGTTTGAGAAATAATTAGGGTTTTTTGAAAAATGCTCACATATCATATCGATATTAACCTAGTGTGCCATGGAAAACAAATGTTTAATGACTTATTGATAAACGTCAAAGTCTGATTTACGTTGTTTGATGCTTGTGAGTCTAAAACCAGTTAAAATGGATATTAATAACGTAAATAATGTTTATACAAATGAAGAAATCCATAATTTATTTTTTGTGCACGAAAAGTGCGACAAAGTTCTTAGTAGAACTTGCAGAATGTTTAATGAAAATTATCCACATTTATCTCCGATGACAAAAGGTAAATTTAGAGGAATAGAAGCAAATTTTTTGCATTTTGGACGAATTAATCACGTGTTAAACTGACCAAAAAATGTAGTAGATAATGCAACGGAAGAGGTGAATACCTTGGCTTATTTCGAGCCCAGTCCCAACACCTCAATTCGAGCTGCCAAAGAAGATCTGGGAATCATACTACGAACTTTGTCGCGCTTTTCATGCAAAAAAAATAAATTAAGAATTTCTTGATTTGTGTAAATATTACTTTCGTTATTGTTATCGATTTTAACTCGTTTCAGTACTAATATTAAGGGACATAACAGATAATTATTAGCTCACATGCATCAAGTGACGTAAACAAGTGAGTCTTTGACAAGAACTCATTGAGAAGGCTTGTTTTTCATGGCACACTAGGCTAAATATCCATATGATATGTGTGCATTTTTCAAAAAACCCTAATTATCTCCCAAACTATTAATATTAGGTATGGGCCATATGGGATATAAAAGATGTAGAATGAGACACCGAAGACGACTAAAAAATAAAATATGGGGGGTGCCATTTAAAAAAATGAAGTTATGGTACTTCCAAATTTTGAAAAGTTAACGTGCCATAGTAAAGTGATCAAACGTTCTAGACCGCAGTTCTCGGCACCAAAACATACTCCATCATGTTGCTTAAGCATGTTCTGAATCCTAAATTGATATCCCAAAAATTGAGTGTTTTCTGATTTTTTGAACAAATGTCTGCTGGAGCAGATTTTTCTATAAAAATTCGAATAACTTGAGAACGACCGAATCAAATTGCAAAAAGTAAAGTTATTTATAAACCTTGAAAACAGACAAATCCAAATATGTAAAAATATACAGGTGTTCCATTTAAAAAAATAAAGTTGGTGGCGACTTCCGGTATAACCGGAAGTGCAAGAAATCTGAAAATATTTTAGACGAAGAGATCGTAATTGATAATACTTAAGTTTGAATTCTCAAATTTTTATTTTCGCCAGAACCCCAGAAACGTCTAATGACCGGTCTCGCTGAGACACCCTGTAGGGTAATTCAAATTCGACCCCCACCATTGGGATCTCAGAAACCATAAGAGATACAGAAATGGTTTAATTTTGTTCAAAGTTGCGTATCTTAGAGCTCATCATTTTTCAACTAAGTTTTTAGGATCTAGTCGTTTTATTTTTTAAAATAGGACCGAAAAACAAAAAAATAACTTTTTCGTTTTTTGCCTATAACTTCTTTATTTTTCGTTTTTTCGTGAATCTGAGAAAATATTCTTAAGGCAACTTTTTATGAAAAATGTCATGACACAACTAGAAATTTTCTCCGACGTTTCGTTTTCGTAAAACTATCATCAGGTTTATTTTTTCTTATGAACGCCATATTTGATTTTCACACCAAAAAATTGGATAATTAATTCTGATTTCAATGATATGTCACACAATGTATTTTATTTAAAAAAAACATTAAATTATTCAAAAAAAGAATAAACTTGATGATAGTTTCACGAAAACCAAACGTCCGAGAAAATTTCTAGTTATGTCATGACATTTTTCATAAAAAAATTAAATAATAAAATAAATAAATAAAAAAATGATTTCCTGAAATCATCAGGAAAACCACGCCATCATCGTGGTCTTATAAAAATATAATTAAGTGAATTTGAACATTAAGCACTTGAAAGAAAAGAAAAATTGATTTATATGATAAGAAAAGGAGCAGAAATTGTATGACGTGATTTTCCTGATGATGGCGTCGAGCCGAAACCGGTAGAAACCAAAAAATAAAAATAAAATTTTCATCGTTAAAATACAATACTTATTTACTCACATCCATTAAACACATGATGTTAAAAGGAAATCAAACAACCCCGAATGTTTCTGGTTCTAGGTCTAGTGTTAGTTCTACTTTTCATTCAATAAAAATATATCACAATCTAACGCTGAATAATGATTAACTAGAACTAACAGTAGATATAGAACTAGAAACATTCGGGATTAACCTCACATCTTTCAATATGGGTTGGGATCTAGGTATAGTGTTAATTCTAGTTTTACACTTGCACTGTCACTAGAAGTAACATTAAACCTAGAACTAGAAACATTTGCGTTTAGCCGTAGGTATGTCTTTTAAGAAAGACATATAAATTCTAGTTTTACACTAGCCTATTACTATATAGAGCTAACACAATACCTACAACTAGAATCATTTAGGTTTAGCCGCACGTCTGTAAAGACGGCTAAACCCAAATGATTCCAGTTCTAGATATAGTGTTAGTTCTAGTTTTACACTAACACTATTACTATGTAGAACTAACACAATACCTAGAACTAGAATCATTTGGATTTAGCCGCACGTCTTTAAAGACGGCTAACCCCGAATGAGTCTAGTTCTAGACATAAGGTTAGTTCTAGTTTTACACTTGCACTGTCACTAGAACTAACATTAGATCTAGAACTAGAAACATTTGAGTTTAGCCGTACGTCTCTTAAGACAGCTAAACCCGAATGATTCTAGTTCTAGATATAGTGTTAGTTTTAGTTTTACACTTGTACTGTCACTAGAACTAACATTAGACCTAGAACTAAAAACATTTCTGTTTAACCGCACGTCTCTAAAGACAGCTAAACCCGAATGTTTCTAGTTCTAGGTCTAGTGTTAGTCCAAGTTTTACACTAGCACTATTACTATGTAGAACTAACAGAGTACCTAGAACTAGAATCTTTTGGGTTTAGCCGCACGTCTCTAAAGACGGCTAAACCTGAGCGGTTCTAGTTGTAGATATAGTATCAGTTCTAGTTTTACAGTACCACTGTTACTATGTAGAATTAACACTATACCTAGAACTAGAATCATTTGGATTTAGCCGCACGTCTCTAAAGACAACTAAACTCGAATGATTCTAGTTCTAGATATAGTGATAGTTCTAGTTTTATAGTAGCACTATTACTTTGTAGAACTAACACAATACCTAGAATTAGAATCATTTGGGTTTAGCCGCATGCCTCTAAAGACGGCTATACCCGAATGATTCTAGTTCTAGATATAGTATTAGTTCTAGTTTTACATTAGCACTATTACTATGTCGAACTAACACTATACCTAGAACTAGAATCATTTGGGTTTAGCCGCACGTCTTTAAAGACGGCTAAACCCAAATGATTCCAGTTCTAAATATAATGTTAGTTCTAGTTTTACACTTGCACTGCCACTAGAACTAACATTAGACCTAGAACTAGAATCATTTGGGTTTAGCCGCACGTCGGTTTTAGATTTTGCGATATCATGACATCTTTCTTTTTTGTAAATGGAAACAACCACTGATTATTCGCTTATTAAGTTCGTAATTGTTATTGTTATTGTTTTAGAATAAAGCTAAAAATAATTTTTTTTTAGTGTCGTCAAAGAAATTAAATTTACAGTTTCCTGTAAATTATAATTAAAAATTAAAAAAACATGTTTCTGATATTTACAACAAATACATTTGTTGAACTATTTAATTTATATTTGTTTTACACAAAAGTTGGAATAGATTTTATTATTTCACATTTTTGATTAATATTTAGTATTATTATTAAATTACTTAATAAATTATTGGTAGATGGCGACATTTCTTTGTATTTAATAAAGTCCCTACATTTACAAAGTACTGCGGTTCATGAAGCCTGTTTTCGAGCCAAAATGACGGTTTGACAGCTTGTCACTGTATCTCATCACTTATTTTCAAAAATATTGCCGTCTTGTTGCCTTTGGAGTTGCAAAAATGACAGTAAGAAAGACTTTCGACTCTTCAGAGTACCACGAGAAAAAAAGAAAGGAAATTTGGCGTAATGTTTTGTAGTTTTAAATTTCCCGCTTGACTTTCGAGCCAAAATGGCGTTAAACCGCGGTACTTTGTAAATCTAGGGACTTTAGTATTTAAACATTTTCTGAAGTGTCAAATTAAAAATCCTGTTTTTTAATATAGATTACGAAAATTACGAAAAGTTTAACATATTAGAATGTTACATATTAGAAAATAAAGTAAATTACTTTATATATACCTATTTTTATATAAATTTTTAGTAGAATAATTTTTAGTTATAGTACCGTAATTTACAGAAAACTGTAAATTTAATTTCTTTGACGACACTAAAAAAAAGTTTATTTTTGCTTTATTCTAAAACAATAATAAGTAGACCTATACAACCCCATATTTTCGTAATCAGAAAAAAATAACGTATTTAATAAGCGAATAATTAGTGGTTGTTTCCACTTAAAACAACGAAAATTGTCATATCTAAAAATCTAAAACCGAAAAAATTTTTTTGGCTACGTCTTCAAATTATCTGTAAAAAAGTGTCGATATAATGTCTTAGTAATAATACTCTGCCTATAATGATAACCAAGATAATTGCACTTGCTAATAATGCTAATAATTGCTAATAATTTCGATTTTGGCCTCTAGGGGAAAAACAAAAGACGATAGCGCTTTGAGGTTTTGGACATTAGCAGTTTCTCGAAAAACAACATCATGATTTCGGATATAACCTATTCGGACATCGAATTTGAACCACCTTGTACGTATATTTTTGTCGGTAAGAGTATAGGCAGAATAACTTATCGAGTACTCAGCGGTGCCGATAAGACAGTTATCCGCCAGATATGTATGGTTACCAAGGTTCTTACATAAAATCTTTGTATGGTTACTGCATAGGTTAACCTATAACACCCGTATATAACATACGTACGTTGTCAGTTGTCTGCCGTGAAAGTTTTTTTTAAACAATTATTATTGTCATAATTCAAACTTCAAAGAAAGACGTTAGCGTTACCAACCTACGACACAAATCACTAAATATGAGAAAAAAGTGCTACCAATCGACTCTTATTTCGCCGATAGCAATCCTGCCGACGAAAAGAGTTTGTACAACAGCGAATATTTTTATCCTTCTGATAAGTTTATCGGCCGGATAGTTATCAGGTAGATTTATCGGTATATTGTACAATCAACCTTAAATCGTAGCTGCTTGTCAAAATTACAATTGATACCACATAGATGCAATCTTGACACACACATAACGTTCCTGCCTAGCCAAAACTGCATTAGAGACACCGTTGAATAGGATTTTTAAATCTGCATCCAACAGTTAAAGCGATATAACCTCAAACAATCTACAATCGCTACAATATTGGTTTAAAGTTGTGCCTATTTCAATATAATATAAAGTTTTTTTGTTTTCCAAAAAAATCAAGTAAATGTAATTTAAGCCGTTTTGGCTTGGCAACGTCGATATTACAACATACTCAGTTATAAGCAATTTCGGATAAACTTAGAACCAATCACTTTATTTGATTAAATAAAATTCACGTGATGTTTGAGGTCGTTCAATTTTTATTGATTGGTTTTTTCGAATTCAAAATATCACTTTTTAAGTTATAATGTTATCGTTTAATGTCAAAATATGAAATTTTCCTTATTTAATTTGATCCGTGTTGGTCTCGTTTTCTGGTCGTCGTCGTCGTCTTCGTCATGACCAAGTCGTTCCCGTCTGGGGAACGACGACGAAGAAGAGAGGACGACGTCGCGCGTCCGGCCGTGTGAACGAACTTGGCGATGGCCCCAGCTGGCAACGTGAAGGAATTCGACAGGCATCCATCCATCCATCCGTTCGTACATTCGCCCCGTCTCGACCGCACCAGAAGAAGAACAGAACTGTGACGGTGCATCATATGATTTCGCAAACTTCATTCAATTCATTTATTTACATTTGCATTTCAATCATTTTATTTTATGTATTTCATTTCAATTTTTTTTACAGTGGGAATGGAAAATTGGCAACTTGGGGCTCAATTCTTGGATTTCTAGTCATGATGACTTTGGACGTTGGATTAGGATAAGCAGATGCAATAAATTTATCGATTAGTAGTTATCAACAAACTTAGATTCCTTTTTTTTAACTTTTTAAACGCAAAAGGCATTTTTTTAAAAATAATAATCGTCACTTTCTTGTCATTAACGCATAGGAAATTAAAAAGATACATACAAAGAACTACATATCCTCATTAGATTATTTACGTTGTACTTTAATCATTCTTTATTTCTGTACATAAAAGCCTCTTCTACAACTTCCATTTTATAGTGTACTTATTAGATTTATTTCAAAGTTTTAAGTGTTCAAAATGGTGTTTAAAAAAAGCCAGGGTATTCTCTTGTACTACTTAAATAGTTCCACTTTTTATTCTTAATCACTAATTATTTTCAGTATTGTAATTAATTTGGTTTAAGCCGTAATCGTGAAGAAAAAAATATTTTTCTACTACCGATTAATTAATTAAATTAATTAATCAACTGCTAAGTATTTTTATACAAACTAAAAAAACGATTATGACGGTAACTGTGATAACAAAACGTATTGTAACACAAAGAGAAATCTAATTTTAAACTGCTAAGTCCAAACTAAAAATTGTATTTGGGTTCGTTTAAAAAGATACTTTTATAGTTATCTAACGTGCAATGTAAGTTACGGTCTTAAAAATTAAATAAAACAAATTTTTTTTTTAAATATACTTAATTAATAAGTACTTTAATAAAAATTATTTAATCGTTTTACTTTTTGGATGAAAATAAATTATTTAAAAATTAAATTGGTTTTCTATTTCATCGGAACCCGATTATCCATTGTATTTTATGGGCTCTTGGTATCAAATTAAAGCAAGAAACAATAGAAATCCAAACGCAATTCATTAGAACCTGATTGTTAATTGTTTCATTTTTCTATTTTTGAAAAATTAAATTGATTTCAAATTGTATCAAATTGAAGCCCTTTAAATGGAGATTAAGAAACGATTGCAATCAGACCGCGGAACAAACCAAGAGGAATGTCTCAATCAAATCAAAAAACAGATTTCTTTAAAATTGGACTGATTTAAAAAGGTAAGTTTGAAAAATGTTTTCTTAAAAACGAATAAATTCATCAAACTTCACTCCTTCATTTGAATTATTTCAAATTAACACAAATTTTAAAATATCTATTCAATTTTGAATACCATTTTAAAGCACATATTCCAAGCTTTCATTTAAGATATCAATCACTTCTATATATTTGTAAGTCTAAAAACGCACGGCAAGTAACGAATTTAATACTTTCTAGGGCTAGTGTAAGTTCTAGTTTTAGTTTAATATGCAGCATAGTGATAATTTATGCTCTACCAGCCATCTTAAGAGAGGTACGGATAAACGGAATGTTTCTAGTTCTTGGTCTAATATTAATTCTACTGATAGTGCTAGTGCAATACTAGAACTAACACTAAACCGAGAACTACAAACATTCGGGTTTAGACGCACGTCTCTCAAGACGGCTAAACCCGAATGATGCTAGTTCTAGGTCTTGTGTTAGTTCAAGTGATAGTGGTAGTGCAAAACTAGAACTAACACTAAACCTAGAACTAGAATCATTCGGATTTAGTTTAATAAAAATATGCAACATAGTATTTTACACTAGCACTATCACTAGAATTATCACAAGACCTAGAACTAGAATCATTCGGATTTAGCCGTCTTGAGAGACGTGCGGCTAAATCCGAATGTTTCTAGTTCTAGGTCTAGTGTTAGTTCTAGTTCTGCACTAGCACTATCACTAGAACTAACACAAGACCTAGAATTAGAATCATTCGGGTTTAGCCGTCTTGAGAGACGTGCGGCTAAATCCGAATGTTTCTAGTTCTCGGTCTATTGTTAGTTCTGGTTTTGCACTAGCACGATCACTAGAACTAACACAAGACCTAGAACTAGAATCATTCTGGTTTAGCCATCCTTAGAGATGTGCGGCTAAACCCAAATGATTCTAGTTCTAGTGTTAGTTCTACATAGTGATAATGTTAATATAAAACTAGAACTAACAAAAGACCTAGAACTAGAATCATTCGGATTTAGCCGTCTTGAGAGACGTACGGCTAACTCCGAATGTTTCTAGTTCTCGGTCTAGTGTTAGTTCTAGTTCTGCACTAGCACTATCACTAAAATTAACACAAGACCTAGAACTAGAATCATTCGGATTTAGCCGTCTTGAGCGACGTACGGCTAAATCCGAATGTTTCTAGTTCTCGGTCTATTGTTAGTTCTGGTTTTGTACTAGCACGATCACTAGAACTAACACAAGACCTAGAACTAGAATCATTCTGGTTTAGCCATCCTTAGAGATGTGCGGCTAAACCCAAATGATTCTAGTTCTAGTGTTAGTTCTACATAGTGATAATGTTAATGTTAAACTAGAACTAACAAAAGACCTAGAACTAGAATCATTCGGATTTATCCGTCTTGAAAGACGTGCGGCTAAATTCGAATGTTTTTAGTTCTCGGTCTAGTGTTAGTTCTAATTTTACACTAGCACTATCACTAACGCTGTACTAAAATCGAATGGAGGAGCTACGAAGTACTAGTACTACGCACATTTCATCGTTCATTGCAACATTTAGAACTGTACGATTACTTTTGTAAAGTTGAAATGGAACAATTTTGAAGAATAAAATTATTAATTTATTTTGCTATTTTCTTGAGTTTAAGAGCTTTACTTATAAATCTGTTTAAAATGAATAAAAAACTTGTATTTACGATTCTATTTTGGAAATCATGCAAAAACCGTTAGTGTACGAAGACTTTTGTGAATGACTGTATTTTAAATAAGCTCAAATTTCAGACTATTAAATTTAAAACCATATCAGATACTTTTTGATAATCAACATATCGATCTTTATATACCACCTTAAAGCATAGGTTCCGAGCTTTCAGTTAAGATATAAATTACTTCTACATCTCTATAAATAATGCCAAAGCGATTTTAAGAATTTTGACAAATTCTCTTAATTCTTTTAAATTAACACAAATTTCAGACTATTCAATTTTGAACCATTTCGGATATTTTTTCATTATCAACATATAGATATTTATACATTATCCTAAAGCACGGATTCCAAGCTTTCATTTAAGATATACCTCACTTCCATATCATTGTAAATAAAGACAAGACGATTTTTTGAAATTTTAACAAATGTTCTTAATTTATTCAAATTAGCACAAATTTCACACTATTCAATTTTGAAGAATTTCGAATATTTTTTGATTATCAACATATCTATCTTTACACATCATTCTAAAGCACAGATTCCAAGCTTTCATTTAAAATATAAATCATTTCCATATCTTTGTAAATAAAGACAAGACGATTTTTTGAATTTTGACAAATTTTCTTAATTCTTTCAAATTAACACAAATTTCAGACTATTCAATTTTGAACCATTTCGGATATTTTTTGATTATCAACATATCGATCTTTATACATCATTCTAAAGCACAGATTCCAAGCTTTCATTTAAGATATAACTTACTTTCATATCTTTGTAAATAAAGTCAAGACGATTTTTTGAATTTTGACAAATTTTCTTAATTCTTTCAAATTAACACAAATTTCAGACTATTTAATTTTGAACCATTTCGGATATTTTTTGATTATCAACATATCGATCTTTATACATAATCCTAAAGCATAGATTCCAAATTTTCATTTAAGATATAAATCATTTCCATATCTTTGTAAATAAAGACAAAACGATTTTTTGAATTTTGACAAATTTTCTTAATTCTTTTAAATTAACACAAATTTCAGACTATTCAATTTTGAACCATTTCGGATATTTTTTAATTATCAACATATCTATCTTTATACATCATCCTAAAGCACAGATTCCAAGCTTTCATTTAAGATATAAATCACTTTCATATCTTTGTAAATAAAGTCAATACGATTTTTTGAATCTTAACAAATTTTCTTAATTCTTTCAAATTAACACAAATTTCAGACTATTTAGTTTTGAACCATTTCGGTTATTTTTTGATTATCAACATATCTATCTTTATACATCATCCTAAAGCATAGATTCCAAGCTTTCATTTAAGATATAAATCACTTCCATATCCTTATAAATAAAGACAAGAAAATTTTTTGAAGTTTGACAAATTTTCTTAATTTTTTCTAATTAATACAAATTTCACACTATCCAATTTTGAACAATTTCGAATATTTTTTGATTATCAACATATCTATCTTTATAGATCATTCTAAAACACAGATTCCAAGCTTTCATTTAAGATATAAATAACTTTCATATCATTGTAAATAAAGACAAGCCGATATTTTGAATTTTGATAAATTTTTTTAATTCTTTCAAATTGACACAAATTTCAGACTATTCCATTTTGAACCATTTCGGATATTTTTTGATTATCAACATATCGATCTTTATACATAATCCTAAAGCATAGATTCCAAGCTTTCATTTAAGATATAAATCACTTCCACATCTTTGTAAATAAAGACAAGACGATTTTTTGAATTTTGACAAATTTTCTTAATTTTTTCAAATTAACACAAATTTCAGACTATTCAATTTTGAACCATTTCGGATATTTTTTGATTATCAACATATCTATCTTTATACATCATCCTAAAGCACAGATTCCAAGCTTTCATTTAAGATATAAATCACTTTCATATCTTTGTAAATAAAGACAAGACGATTTTTTGAATTTTGACAATTTTTCTTAGTTATTTCAAATTAACACAAATTTTACACTATCCAATTTTGAACAATTTCGAATATTTTTTGATTATCAACATATCTATCTTTATACATCATTTTAAAGCACAGATTCCAAGCTTTCATTTAAGATATAACTCACTTTCATATCTTTGTAAATAAAGTCAAGACGATTTTTTGAATTTTGACAAATTTTCTTAGTTTTTCAAATTAACACAAATTTCAGACTATACAATTTTGAATCGTTTCGGATATTTTTTGATTATCAACATATCGATCTTTATACATAATCCTAAAGCATGGATTCCAAGCTTTCATTTAAGATATAAATCACTTCCATATCTTTATAAATAAAGTCAAGACGTTTTTTTTGAATTTTTACAATTTTTCTTAATTATTTCAAATTAACACAAATTTTAGACAATTCAATTTATGGCATAAAATCAGATATCAGAGCTTTCATTTAAGTCATAAATCATGTCTACATCTTTATAAATAAAGCCAAGCCGATTTTGTAAATTACAAATTAACACAAATTTCAGTCTATTCAATTTTGAGTCGTTTCGAATATTTTTTGATAATCAACATATCAATTTTTACACACCCTTTTAATACAGAGACTTCAATTTTTGATTTAAGATATATATAATTTCTATATTTTCATAAATAAAGAAGTTGTATGAAGTGAGATATCTTAAGGAACATTAACAACAA